CAAGCACGCATCGGAAATGTAACGCCCCTTACCATAATCGCCAGCTTCATCTTTCAATGTAAATATCAAGACAGTTAATAATGTCGTTAGTTTTTTCTAACAAGCCCATTAAGCAATTCAGTATTTGTCTGATATATTGCTGAGATGAGTGCTAAAGTATATTCAGCCTCTGAATAATCTAAAGATGCATTCAGCCTCGTAGCATCACCAGATCGGCACAGTACTTAGAAACAAGTGATATTTTTTAAAAACTATATATAAAAAAAAAATCACAACAACCCATTACAATCCACTTAAGATGCATGTAAGAAACTCTATAAATAAATACAAAACAATAACAGGCCATACTCTTTATATTGTAAATGGTTCCAAATGGTGGAAAGTCAACATAAAAATCTGTAATAAAAAGCTCAAAAAAGTGAAAATGGCAACTACAAATCTGATTCTTGCATTGAAAACCATTCAATGACATCAAACACCAACTTAGCAAGACTGGTTTCGCACTTTGACTCAATTTCTGATCAGTATTTATCGGTGAGGTGCTCATCCGACTCGCATCGAAATCAAGTCCAAAACTACAGCATGAGCAATTTAGAGAAGGAAACATGAAAAAACAAAAACAATTTCAGGACATTCCAGGGGACAAACGTAAACGGTCGTACAGTATGTGGAAAATAATGTTTTTTTTTAACCTTAAACCGCATAAACACATTTCATTACACCAAATACACAAATTAATGTTTTTTTTAGCAACATCATATGACCCCTTTAAAAGTGCTGTAAACTGACCTCTGTCTGCTGCTACATCTGGAGTCAATGACCTCTGGTCAATGACCACCTGTGCAAACTAGGCTACATACGGTAGATGGCACAATACTAACTAAGAGAAACTTATCTAAGCTGAAGTGTGAACAACTCTGGGCTACATATGGTTCAATAAGCAGGTCTCTGATTATCTTATTTATTATTGAGTTAATGCTCTTGACTGACATGCCATTTGAGAACATCAAAAACATGACCGAGAAGCAAAGGCTTGTGTGTAAAGTTGGCCTCAGCCAGTTTGTGTGAATTCTATCATTGTAGACTCCAGTGTACCACCCTATTCAGCCTGGATTGATTCAGCTTCATCGAATGTGCTGTCTAATATTGCTTATGAACAGGATGCTACAGTAGTCACTGTACCAAAAGAAAAAAACAAGGAAAGAATAACATCTGATTGGCTCAATGGAAAAACCAGTGAGGGTGAGAGCTTGGTTTGTTCAGTCTGTCATTGGCAGCTGGGCAAAAAAAACAAAAAACAAAAACAAAACAATTCTACAAATTCTTCTTCTTCATCATTGTAGACTCCAGTGTACCACCCTATTCAGCCTGGATTGATTCAGCTTCATCGAATGTGCTGTCTAATATTGCTTATGAACAGGATGCTACAGTAGTCACTGTACCAAAAGAAAAAAACAAGGAAAGAATAACATCTGATTGGCTCAATGGAAAAACCAGTGAGGGTGAGAGATTGGTTTGTTCAGTCTGTCATTGGCAGCTGGGCAAAAAAAACAAAAACAAAAACAAAACAATTCTACAAATTCTTCAAAAATAAATAAAAATCCAAAGCTTGGTTTGTTCAGTCTGTCATTGGCAGCTGGGCAAAAAAAACAAAAAACAAAAACAAAACAATTCTACAAATTCTTCTTCTTCAGAAAAAAAAAAAAATCCAAACATGCCAAAGCTAACTTTTTGGCACTCAGTATAGTTTTAAAAGGATAAAAATAAAAATTAAGTCGTCTTTACTCATCCTCCAAACCTGTATGAGTTTCTTTCTCCTGAAGAATGTTTTCGCACAATAAAAGTCAATGGGGTCCAAAAAAACTGGACACTGGACCCCACTGACGAAAACATTCTTCAAAAGAAAGAAACTCATATAGGTTTGGAATGACATGAGGATGATGACGATGACAATACTTTCATTTTTAGGTGAACTATCCCTTCGTGGCCAAACCATTAAACTACTGGTGTGCCAATGGACTTTATTTAATGGACTTCTTAAGTAATGCAAATGAAAAAGATATACCACGATATACAGTATGCAACATGTTCAAAAGCTGGTGTTGTCGTAATGTTCAAGGTCATGTCTAATTCTCAAGATGTATTTGTTGACTTTTCTAGTGTAGAACCCATTGAATACACTGTAACTTTCAACCTATCACAGACTTAACTGCATCTACCCTGACAAAGGTCTACATCTGCAAAACGTCTACCAACCCTGACACATAGCGAAACAACCGACAGACTCTAAGTGCCAGTGTGGGAAAAAAGGACTGGTTTACAAAAAGGAAAAACAAAACTGCTGATTCACATGAGTTCATCATCAAGTCCAGACATGCAACTGTGCAGTAATTTGGACGTTTCTTGGCATTATAGGAGGGTGTGTCTTTAGAACTTTACCTCAAGTCTTCTATTTTACTAAATTTGCTGGCATGGAAAGTGCAAATGACAAGATAGAATCGATTGCTTATGCGGTTCACTGCTTTTCCGAGTAGCAGCAACCAGATTCTTTTGATGGCTAGAATAAAGGTTTAAACGTGACAATGTCAAACCACTGTACTGCATAAATAGGCGTCCCTGTCAACAAGGATTTAGGCATTACGCCAACAACCAGTATAGCTCAGAAGTCAACACAAGCCAAGTGGTTATTTGACCGAAGTCAGTCTTGTACGATGCAACCATTCAAGTTGTGAGTCATAGGCACCAACACCTTAACCACAGGGGCAAAAGCACTTGTCCAGGCACACAACGTTTCGGCCAAGCAGCACAAATGTAAGAGCATGTGAACAGGAACCATCCTTAACTGAAAAGAAGGACTCACAGAGCTCCAGAGCTCACAGAGAGTTGGGAGAAGGTCAGAAGTTTCGTGTGGTGTTGAAGGAGTTGGAGAGGAAGGGGGCACTGGGGATGGTATAAGGTGGAGGCGGAGGGCTGGTGGTGCTGAGGTCGGGGTAGGGCTGCAGGCCCATCTGTTTGTTGTCCTGGAGCTTCCGCACCACCACGCGGCAGAAGTCCTCGCTATGCCGCTCGCAAGTGTCCAGAAGCTTCCGCACTTTGGCAGTACGTGTGGGTTGGTTCACGACCAGTTCATAGTCTTCGCGCATCAGCAGCTCACGGGACAACAGAGCATCTAAACTCTGATTGAGACACGCCTCCGTCATCTGTCGCACGACATCCTCCCTTCGGGCAGCAATCCAGCGAGCCGCCAGACCTTGAGTGTCCAATGCTGTGACAAAATCTGCAAGGAAAGTCAAGAGCACATTAAGGAGAGCCTGAATCGAGGATGTCAAAAGTTGATAGCAACTTTGAAAAAGATCTTACAGATGCTTTGGTCCTGTTCAAGGTATCACTAACAGGTTACCTTGTGGATGTGGCTGCAGCGTGAGGGGTTGTATGACAGGAGCCAGGTCACTTTCACTCTGTGACGCATGCGGTTTGAAAGGTATGTTGAGGTCGGACACGGGCTGCGCCGTCTGGTATTCAGGGCTGAGGTTGTTCCGAGAGCAGTGGTCCACAAGAGGCTTTGGAGGATCAAGTGGAAGGGACATTAATGATGCCTGAGCACCTGACACACCTGATGATGTAGAACAGAACCAATAAACTAACCAGTTCAAAGAATCCAAAGACCAGATGGAAATAAGAATAATAGATTAGGTGCATGTGATTACATTACCCCAACATTTTGTCATCATTTACTCATTAGGGTAAAGATCCTAAAGACAACCCTGGGTTATCGTCGATCTAAACCCTGCTTTTAACCCCAGAGTAAAGGAACGTGAAAACCGTTTGTTATGAAACACTGCTCCGGAGTTTGCTCCCACATATCAGCACCAAACTTGTACGGTGTGAAACAATTCTGTGTTACAACATTACAGCTAGATACTAAGCAACAGACACCCAACCCATATTCACATGCTTTGGACAGTCACCGAAACATTTGTTTCAGTGCTTGAGGAAAAAAAAAAAAGTCAAATGGTGATGAAAAACACGTCAATTGGAGTGAAGAAGAGGCCGGTTTATTCGTACCTTTATAGTCCAAAAAGTCTTTTCAGGATAAACTTGATAGCACAGTCAGTAATATATGATACGAGGATGTGCAATGCTAGATCATTGATGTAAACAGGTTGTGTGTGTTCGTTCATCTAGTCAAGGAACTTACGGTTACACTTTATTTTAAGGTGTCCTTGTTACAGTGTAATAATACATTTAAGTACTGAGTAATATTAATTAACTACATGTACTTGCTATATGGTTAGGTTTGGCTTAGGGTTACTTGCATGTAATTATGCATAATTCATTGTTATTATAATAGTAAGTACATGTAACATGTGTAACAAGGACACCTTAAAAATAAAGTGTTACCGAACTTACAGTGTGAAACATGAGCTTATGAATACAAAGAAATAATTGTTATCCCGGGCTAAAGAATGAGTAGTGTGAAACAAAATAACCAAGGATTCTGGTTACCCAGGGTTAACTATTTCAAGCGTGAAAAGCCCTACTATGAAATTTTCTCATTTAGCAATTCCAGCAAATTTGTTTTCATGGAAGAAATTAAGTCAAGTTGTGAACAATACGACGGTGAGTAAATGATGGCAGAATTTCATTTTTGGGTGATCTATCGCTTTTAGAAGAAATAAGTCCTGCCTTGAGAGGGATTTGATATGGTAAGGCAGCCAGGATGGGATATTTCTGCTTCCTGGGAAGAGCTGGATGTGGAACTGCTGTCCTGTAACATGAACAAGAAATTCAGACACTCGCCAGACCATTCTCATCTCTGATTAAATGCTGAATCATCAACAACCCAGGACTTATATTTAAAAAGAACATAGTAACTTACTGGCCAAGGGACGTTTTGCTCCTTCACAATCTTTTCTTCGATTAGTTTCTCATTTGTTTGAGTTGATGAGTAGCAGCTTGATGGCCTCATATACTGAGGGAAAGAAGGCACAAGAAATTATATATACTTTCGATTGTTTTTGACCTCAAAGTGAGAAGACGCCATCAAACTAAGTCCACTAACTAAATCTAGACAAAAATGGGAATTAAAACAATAGTTCATCCATGCATAGTTAGTCTAAACCCTTAAAGGTTCACCTTTGTTCGTTTCACTTCCAACACTGCTTCCAAGAAATCAATCTCATCAAATCTTCTCAGCATGGGCTCCAGTTCAATAAGACAATCTGTACAGTACAGACAAAGCAGCTATTAAACTTCAAAATAATTCAATAAACATATATATTCAAAATGTATGTATGGTCATTTTTACACATTCATCATGCCCTCTTGCTCAATCCGTCATCAGAATAAACAGGCTCATATCTCAAAACACTACTGTCAAAACATTGCTGAAACGAGTTAGCATTTTAGGACTTCCAGTTTAATTTTCCTGAAGGTTTTTTGTATGGGTTTTTGGATAAAATGCCAGAAATAAGGTCTGTGGTTAACACAAGCTCAAGGTATGCTCAGGTTTTATTTGCAATATAAAATACATCAGCAATCAGTGATTTTTTAAGCATTTACTTGTCTTGAAAAAGGTGGTTGCTAACAAGTAGCTAAATGGAACTCCAGCGGTTGTCTGGTACATTAAAAACGTCACCACACCGAACAGGTAAACTCATCTACACACTATCCAAACTTTTCTAACTCAAACTTTCAGGAAATACGTTTTTTTAAATAAAGACTAAAAGAGTTGTCAGAAGTTTAATGGTTGTGACGTTGTGACTGTGGTCATATAATTTATTCATAGCCACCCATTGGGTTTTTGTCAAGGGATCCAGGGTGATGCTAACTTCCGATTTGGCCTACAAAAAACAATCACTGCAGAACTCTATTGTGAACCATATTAGAGCTGACATGATGTGTACCCCAAATCAATATTTGAAGTGGACTTGAGTACCGTTTAAAACATTTTTGGGACTACTTTCTTATCAAAAATATTCACAGAACTCAGGTCTGTGCCAAAAGATCTTACTCAACGTTGCCTGCTGCTTACTAGGAAGAAAAATTGTCTATTGTTAATGGGACATGTTGAAAAAAAAAAACATAAATGGCTAAATCAAGAATTTGGACTTTCACAATGTTTGATTTAATTACTCATTTATTAAACCTTATCTGGTTAAATGACAATTCTAGATGAATGACACATGAAGATGACCCCACTGCTCTCTCTGTCTATTCACAGTCATTTCCTCATTCCCCTGATCTGTTGCAGGCTTTGCAAAACAGAAATCATCATAGGGAAACTCAACATTTTTACTTGTCTGTAACACCAAATTTTATGAGATGACAAAATTGCCAGTAGAGACCAATGACAGAATTGTGGTTAGACAATTAAAATATTTAACAATCCACAAGAATAGGTCACCATATTGGATTGTGACAGCATGAAGTAAACACGTTCAGAGGGATTATGAAAAGCAGGGGAAAGGTCAAAGGTGGGGCACAGGCTGACACTCACTGAGAAAGGAGGGCCGTTCATCTGGGTTAGCGGTCCAGCCGCAAGTCATGAGGTTAATGAGGGTCTCTCGACTGGGAATTTCTGCTGGCAGACTGTCCAGGCCCGTGTCGGGTCGAGATCCTCGGAGAACACTGAACATGATCTGCATGGGATTGGTGGCCTCTGCTCACAGAGACAACAAGAGGACAGTGTCAGAGAATGGAGGAATGGTGCCTGGATAGACAGATGGCTGCAGTTTATGAAATGGAGGAGGAAGTGACCATGAGAGGAAATCTGTGTCATGACTTTTTTTGCATCAAAAACATGACACAGCAAAATGTGCTTAGTATTGAGTAGGGCTGCACAATGAATCGGACTTCACTGGTTGCTGTGTTACTTTGGTTTCAAATAGTAGTATAGTTCAAAATTTTGAATGAGCTTTTATTTTTATATTTTAGTTTTAATTTTACTTTTTTTTTTTTGCAAATTATTAAATTTTTATTTTTTACATTTCAGTTTTAGCTTAGTTATTTTAGTATATCAAGTTAAACTAAATGAAAACGAGAAACTTTGCTGGTAACACTTTAGTTTAGGGACCAATTCTCACTTTTAACTAGTTGCTTGACATACTAGCATTTTGGCTGTTTATTAGTACTTATAAAGCACGTATTAATGCCTTATTCTGCATGATCACATTCTAGATCCCTTAAAGGGGTCATATACTGCAATATAATTAGAAAATAATGTTCTTTTTAGCAACGTCATATGACCCCTTTAATTCACCCCATACCTAAACTTAACAACTACCTTACTATTAATAAGCAGTAAATTAGGAGTTTATTGAGGCAAAAGTCTTGGTTAATAGTTAGTTAATAGTGAGAACTGGCCCCCAAACTAAAGTGTGACCACCTTGCATTGGCAACTAGCTGAAATAAAATCAGATTGTGTTTTTTTTTCTTCAGTCAACATTTATTTTATTTGAAGTAACAGAATTTTTTTATGGTTTTAGTTAGCTTTAATAAGCCTGTTGTTTGCGCTGTATGTTTTCTACTGAATAGAATAAGCAGGGAAAACTTTCAGAGTATTTTAGTACAGTATTCCATCCATGTCAAAGAAGGTCTTTATAACTTCATGAAAACTTGGTTTTGGTATTGTACTGGCATTTCAAACTGTAACCAATCACAGATATGCATTATTTCAATGGTGAATAAGAGGAGATTAAATTAGTTTATAGGCCTATATCAGTACTGACAAGTACTAGACTGACAGATTTTAAGCAGTCTGATTGACACATTCATTATTAGAGCAACTGTTTCGTGAACATTTTTATGAATCGTCTAAGAATGGCATAATAAGAAAAAGGTCTAACAACAGTCTAATAAAACCATATGTAGATGCATACTGCTGTTTACTGTGCCCTTTTCTTAATTAAAGTTAACTGGGCTGGGTATTGCAGCCTTATGTGTTCCAGTTCTTATTTGCTTGTTGCTTCCCCTTATACTGATATTAGTGTTCATGATCAATAATATTCCCATCGCTACATTCAGAGGACGACATTAAAGTTCTGTACCAAACACAGTGATGCACAAATGTTTAAATAAATGAAATATATGTTTGTTGGTTTTGTTTTGTTTTTTTGTCTTGAGTGCACAAAGAGAACTCAATGGATTTAGCCTTAAAATAACAATGTCACTTAAAAAACTCAAAAATAATTAGCATTAATAATCAATAAGTCTAGAATGAGCCTACGTCTCTTGGCTGAAGTTTTTGCATGTTTTAATAAAATGCTTTGAATAAAATCTTTTCATGTTACTGTTGATAAAAATGTCATTCAGTCAGGTTGTAAACATATTTCCAGTCTGCTTTATTAAGAAACACTCAGAAAGAGTGTGAGTGAGCTGTTAACCCAGGAATTTCTAAGACCAATTCAGACCAATTCAGTCCGATTCGTCAACGGTTTTGTAAATCAGATCACTGGAGTCATTGACCCTGGCCCGTATTCTTAAAGCTTCAAAGAATCCTCATTTTTTTAAAGAATTTAGCTTAAAAATGTCTAACTAGGAACTAATCTGAGAACAACTCTGAAAAAGGAAAAGACAAAAACTTTCATCTTAGTGAGGAGGCGGGGTTTGACCCTGTTGCTAGGTATGACACATTCTTTTGAAGACTGTGATTGGTTGTGACAGACTTTGACGATAGCAAGACGACTATTATTATTATTATTATCAGGCTAGTAATATCATCTAATTAATATTAGGGCTTACTTGTTCCATCATATTTATTTTTCCGTGTTTTTACAGTGTTGCGCATTATAACCAATCACACACGATTCCGTTGACTTTATGAATGCAATGGCCATCATCGCTGTACAAGAGATTATAATTATAGTATAAGATTTATTCAACACCGTGTAGATAGCTTCACTGATTATAACGGGAGTGTTTTTTATAGTTCATAAACTCGTGCTAGACTGAAGTCAGTGATGATGTTCTTTGCTCGTTTTCTGTAGCTGCTGTTTGAATAACTGAGGAAATGTAAGCATTGTTAATTAGTAACTTACAATGTTTCTATTAAATTGTTATTATATTAAATACAAATTCAGTCATATTAAAAATATTTTATTTATTTCGTTAATAGATTATTACACTAACATTAGGCTGCTTTTAGCCTTACCCTGGAGTTGGTTCACTCTCCGACTATGAAACTAAGTAAGTAAATAATTAAATTAGCATGATAATATTGTGTATTGGTGATCTCACAGGCTGACGATAGGACGATATGACTATGGAGCATATCGCCCAACACTACTCCTCCCTACTCCTAACAATTTTTAACCTTAAAGGGATAGTTCACCCAAAAATGAAAATTCTGTCAGTAATTACTCACCCTCATGTCGTTCCAAACCCGTAAGACCTTCGTTCATCTTCAGAACACAAATTAATATATTTTTGATGAAATGTGAGAGCTCTCAGACCCTGCATAGACAGCAACACAACTGTAATGTTCCCAGACAGAAACATAGTAAGGACATCTGTAAAACAGTCCATGTGACATCAGTGGCTCAACTTCAGTTTTGCGAAGCTGCGAGAATACTTTTTGAGCGCAAAGAAAACAAAAATAACAATTTATTCAACAATTCTTCTCCCCCGAGTTACGTCTTCCGCCATTTTAGAGAGTATCACAACGCATACGCACGCTTTCTCCTAAGCATAAACAACGCTGATTACGTTCATACGTGCGCTTTCTCCCCCGAATGTAAACAACGCTGATTATGTCGATTACGTTCTTGCGTACTCTCCAAAATGGCGGAAGACGTAACTCGGGGGAGAAGAATTGTTAAATAAATTATGTTATTTTTTGTTTTCTTTGTGCTCAAAAAGTATTCTCGTAGCTTCGCAAGAATGAAGTTGAGCCACTGATGTCACATGGACTGTTTTACTGATGTCCTTACTACGTTTCTGGACCTGGGAACATTAGAGTTGAGTTGCTGTCTATGCAGGGTCTGAGAGCTCTCACATTTCATCAAACATATCTTAATTTGTGTTCCGAAGATGAACGAAGGTCTTACGGGTTTAGAACGACATGAGGGTGAGTAATTAATGACAGAATTTTCATTTTGGGGTGAACTAACCCTTTAAGAGCTCTTTTAAGGGTTAAGATTGATTTGTGAATAACTTTTATCTTAACTAGGATCCTCTCTTTAATTCTAATGGGAAATTAGAATGTTTTTTGAGAATTTTGTCACTAGGAGCAACTCTTTGCACTAAGAATTTTCATGAATATGGGCCCTGTGTAACGCTGAAGCTACTGATTCATCTGTTACTGGAGATTGGTTGTCCTCTTTTGTTTAAGATATTGGCTTATTCTGTATGTTGTTATAAGAAATGAGAACATATAAGGTCAAAATTGTCCTTATTTTAGAAGTTTGGATATGTTTATATGTATGCGAAAATGAAAAAATAAATGAAAAAGAATGCTTTGTTCACTATTTTCGATGTTCACGCACATTTGGGCCACATTCAAGAGCAGTCAGAATGTGACATAAGACATATGAACTATGTGACTGTCATGGAACCCATTGGTACACTTTCTATATTTCATGATCACCCAATGGACCCTACCTTCAAATGGTATCCGTCTTGAAAGCACTTCCCACATGATGATGGCGTAACTGAAAGAGGAAGCACAGAACAGATGAGAGAATGGTTTCGCTGCTGCTGTAAAGTCTCTACATCCACTTCTGGCAATCCCCCTTTGGAGATAAACCACACTGTCCTATCAGTGTAATAATTTCAACATGCCCTCTGACTAAGATCACAAAACCTCAGATATGTTGGCAAGTTGACATTTAGTTTCTATATCACTTCTCTTTTTGGACCACAGCAGTGAAAGAACAAAATAAAGCCCTCTTTCATGAGCAGTTTTGGTGAGCTATGATTAAACCCAGAAACTGGTTAATGTTTTTTTTTCTCAGCCTCTCTCTTTGTTCTGGAAAATTGGTAAAGTATTATAAAAATCCACCCATAATTCCCAATATCCTGTACTGCTATATTCCTCCCTCCCAATCAAAGGGTTTGCACATCTGTTAATCAATGAACTCCCATGACTTTTCCATTCACTTGTAACTTGGATAAGGCTTTTATAGGTTTCTAGTCGATAAAATATTTTAGAGATAAGAGTAACTAGAAAAATGTTTCCTGACTTTTCCAGGCCTGGAAATCACTTTGAAAATTCCCTGACATTTCCAGGCTCACCATATGAACTCTTGAGATAAATTAAGGGTGGAACATGTCCCTCATCTGACAGGAATTTTGCTGAGTCAGCAACAGACTGGAACCATGGTGCTATAAGGACAGCTGAACGTCTTAAGGGGATGCCCCCCGAAAAATACAGGAACTGAAAGAGCAGTACTTTAAAAGCCTGTAGTAGAAATAATATGAAACTCAGAAGGAAGTTCACTCATCCTGTCAAAACTGGAAGCTTTATAAAATCTACAGAAACTGACCTGTACATGTCATATTTGACATCCGCTCTGCGGTTCTTGGAAGGTTCGTACTCCTCAGGTGGCATATAAATGACTGTGCCTCCCATTTCGGCAGGTTTGGAGCCGGACCCTTTAGTGATAGAGAGCTGGCGCCATTTAGATAAGCCAAAATCAGCTATCTATTCATAAACACACGCATACAAGATGCACTTTAGATCAGAGAGGCCAATGTAAAGTTACAACAAAATATATTATACTTCAAAAAATACTTTGAACCAAAATGGGCTTTTCGATAGAGTCTGTCAAGATTTAAAATAAAAAAGGTGCCACTGAACTATATTCGTTACCCTTTTTTGTTACAAAATTCTTTTGAAAGCAAAAGAAAATAACAATCATTTGCTTGCATTTAAAAAAAAATCAATTTTCCAATTACAATGAAAGAAGACTTGGGTTTTGAAGGCTGATGTCAAGACCTTTTTAGTGAATAACAACTAAAAACTTCAGTCTTTTCCTCATGCAACATTATTATATGGTTTCAGAAGACTTGAATTACAGCACACAAATCACATGAAGCAATTTCATGATACTTTTATGGTGCTTTTGTGTCCTTTTTGAAGCTTCAGAGCTCCAGTCCCTATTGGAATTGCAAGTAAAAGAGTGACCAGTACATTATTCAAAATATCTCCTTTTGTGTTCCACAGAAGAAAGCCACACAGGTTTGAATTTACATTATGGCAGAACTTTCATTTTTTGGCCAAACTATCCCTTTAAAGTAGTATAAAGGTTTGCAGACTTCCCAGAGAATAAATAATGAATGATTATGGTATTTTTTAAATCCATATGAATTATGACATGTTAAGACATAGCTAATGAATGATTATTTCATTAGCTCATTTCAAAAGTAAGAGTATTATTCATTTATTATATTTAAAAGGGAACAAAAGAGGCTTTTTATAGGAGTAAGACATTCAAACTTGGGAAAGAAACATTAAAGATACAGACACTAATAACATTCAGACAAACATGGAGTTCAGCAAATACAGCTCAAATGACAACAAAAACATCAATAGCTGATCACCTGACGAGCCTGTGTCTGTGAATGCTTCTCATACTCGCTCCTCTCTGCCCCATGCGGCGCGAATCCCGCGTCATGGACGAGCTGTTCATGCTTGCCGCACTCACGCGCTCTGTCTCGTAATGCTGGTTTATACTCGCACCCGGCTCCGCACCGCAAGTCTCCACGAGTACATCTGGCAGTATGGATGAGGCTTGACGCACGCGCGCAACCTGTGTCGACTCGCGCCTGGCTCCGCGTTTAAAACGAATGTAAATTCAGTCTAACTGCTTGCTAATTTCACTTGGATGAAATGAAACATTCAGCACATTTTCCACTTGCTCTTAAAATCCCAAATACTTAAAAGGAATAAATCAGCCTATGTAACATATATAATACTTTAATAATTGACTTAAGAAATACAGTTCTTTATTTATAAAAAATAAACAAATATTTTCTGTGAAATTAAGTTAATTCTGTAAAAGTAGTTATACCATTATAATCTTGCCTGCTGAAAAAAAAAACAATAGAACCCCTCCCAAAACACAATAAAAAATGTAATGGATTTCAGGGTTATAATGGGAATTTGTTTGGTTTTAATGTAAACTATAATGGTGTCTATTTGATGGATTCTATTGGTGGGATGTAATCTGGCAGATGGCAACCAATAGAACAACAGTAATTCCTATTGGAATAATGCCCAAAACAAAAAGGAATTTTGTAATGGTTTAATGGAAACTATAAGAATTTCTGTGATAGTTTCTATTGTTTTTTTTTCAGCAGGGTAATGATACCCATACTGTGCTGCACATTATTGACAATATTGAGCTGAAGCTTGACTTTGCAAATTTAAAATCGCAAATCAAATCGCAATCGCAATATCTGTCAAAAAAAAATAAAAAAAATCGCACAGCCCTAATTTTCATCTATAAAACGATAATGAGTTCAATAAACGTTCGATGCAAAGTTTATGCACCAAAAGCGGAACGAAACAGCACTACACACGACCACTAAACAATGCTGTGAGATCCAGTGTGAAGCGCTTAAATTCAGCCAACAACACAAATGACTCAGTGATTTACACTAGTTTAAAGCCAGATGAAACAGCACTGACAAACAGGAGAAACACTGTGCACAACAATATGGTCAGAAGGCTTTTCAATCTACAAATCGCCAACATTTACCAGGGATTTACTGTAGTAACAATAACTGCACCGTTGTATTGTGGCAGAAATACGGGATATTCATATCTAATTAAAGTCAGGCAAAACACAAACCTGTTTCTTGATTTGAAAAAATAATCACTCACTAGAACATGCAGAAAACTAAGAAATAAATTTTTCTATTAAGATGTTTCTTTGATTAAGGAAAAAAAGACTGGAAAAGTCCAAAGAACTCACAAATGTGAAATGTCATGTTCTGACTAGGGCTGTGCTATATGGACAAAAAAAAACTATCGCGATTTCTTTGATCAATATTGCGATTTCGATTTTAATCACGATTTTGACACACACAGACATGCTTTACAGTCATTAATGCATTGTGTGAATTTGAAACATATTTCCAAAAGAAAACCAATTATAGCTTTATCAAAAAGCTGTAACGTGTCTCTAGAACAGACATAAGGCAAAATAATCACTAAGTAAAGGTGTAACAAAATGTCTCTAGAATAGACAAATGGCAGAAAAAAGAAAAAAAATCCCGTGTCCAAGGATTTTTTTTTGCCATGCATTGGTCATAGAGCTCTTTGTGGCATTGCCTCAGATGTTGAACTAGATTTGTCGCGTCAAGTTCACACGTGCTCTGTCTGCAGTGCGTATACAGTATGTGTATGCGGTGCAGAAGCAGCACGGACTCATTTTGCTTTCGCACAGGACGCATTTGCAGTCCGCTCCTGATCCGCGGCTGTTTACCACAAACACAACATTTATCCATTATTTTGATTTCAAATCCAAACGTTGTTTCTGAAAATGCTTTTTCAGCATTGTGATTCTCTTTTATCACAGTACAGTAATACAATCTTTCATAGACATATTCACGTTTAAACGCAATAAATATACCTTTGTTTAACTACCACCACGAGTGCCATCTATTATTGCCTTATCTAAAAGT